ATATATTTTCCTTTCGTCGTCTCCCTTTGGCCTTGTATCTCATGGTGAAAATTCGCGAAGAAGCGAAATTTCACCGTGGCTGATCGTGTTCCTTTACATTTCACTGATATTCCATAGATCATTTCTCAAAGTCCACATATTGAAGTAGGAACACAGCGATTTTCAGCTATTTTGAAGACGATCAACAGCGTCCATTTTGGTACTAGAAATCGTACAAAAACTAACTTGACGGTGAAATGGCTGGCGAAGACGCGTGTTTCACGCGAATAATTGGCCTCGATCTTCCATTTTCTTTTCATTTTATACGCCATGTTTGGTACCAAAATAAACCTTAGAAACGTGGCTTTCAGACTAGGACTACTTTAATTTTGGCGGTTTTTACTGGCGCCTTGCGCGCAGTGGTAAATAGCGGGAAATACGAACGAAAGATCAAGTCTACGCTATTTAGTGTAAACAATGTCAGACCTTTTAAATTCCTTACAAATGTACAAGTATAAACAAAAGATCACAATATCAACTGATGATCATTGTTTAAAATACCTTAGGGAAACTTGTGTTCCAGCAAATAATATTATCTACACTATGAACATTCCAAACGAGCATCTCACAAGGCACTAATGAACTCAAGGATCAGGGCGTGCTATCCCAATACTCGTTTGTAGATGTTTTGAACGTTTCGATTTTAGCCCAGTATTGTATTAAGATAAAGGATCGTTGCATAAGAGTAGAAAATTTGATCTTCAAACCTCAAGGGAACTTGTAAAAAGCTCTATTTTGGTGGGAAAACCCGCTGACTCGTCCCGGGCTCAAATGTCCGGAATTTCTGGCCATGCTTGAAGGTCGATTCCCTTCAAAATACCTGGCCTGTTACTGCAGCCACCAACAACGCACTTGATGGGCATTTCATTCGCGAAAGAGCATAAAAATCGATGTTAAATAAGATTTTTGGAGTTGACTCGCGATAAAATCCACTGTCAAGCTTCGATAACAACAAATRCSTWGTYCTGRRATGACGTCAGAGTCAGTCCCAGTCTTTCCCGGTATTGAACCCAAAAAAAGAGCTCAAAGTGGACATTTTCCTATGTTTGTAATCTCACCAAAAACTCGCTTTTTTTATAAAAATGAAAAATTCTTTCACAGATACGTTTCAATTAACCTTAATTTTCATTTTAAAGATTAAAAAAAAATCGTGAAGGTGCACTTTAATTTCTTTTCGTATATTTGTCCTTTTTATATATATACCGGACTTTGTTGCTTCAATAAAATTAAAATTTGGTTGAAATTTTCTATTTAGCTCGATCCTGCCTTGATCACCTGAAGAATGGCAAAACCAAGTCTAGCTACTACCCGATAGTCACGCCGAAAGGAAGTCAGATGGTGTACTGTGACCTTGAAAGTGAACGTGGCTCTGCCTGGACGCTAGTGTTGTCCCATGCTAAAAGGTATGCCTACAAGAGTAACATCGCCCCTTTTAAATACAGTTTGACGAGAGACCTCCCGGTCAATAGCAAGAGCCCTAACTTCAACATGTACCGTATGAGCCATGCCCAGATGAAGAACATCCAGTCCCAGTCCACCCACTGGCGAGTCACGTGCAATAACTATGTTGGTGACTATTCCGATTATGTACGTGTCAAGTTTCGTGACCTGGATCCCTTGAAATTCATTGGTAKTGGTGATTGTAAAAAGGTCGAATACATTAACGTCAGAGGCCACGTAGGGATCGGTGTTACAGCAGCTTTCTGGCAATATAATCATGAAATGCTTCATCACGACTCTTCTTACAACCGCTGCCAGTTTGGTAGAACCGCCGGTGCAGTGGGTAGTGAAGACAACTTTGGGCTATACCGTTTTATGAACGGAAAGAACCGTTGTACTAGTCAGGCCACAAGCACTTCTAACACTTGGTTTGGCGGATATTTGTAAAAATGATTTGCTGTGAGAGATACCTTTTTTTCATTAAATCTTTTTTACCCTTACTTATTTAAGGTGTGAACATTAGGTAGGCACATGATTGTTGCGATCTACACTCCACAGTACAATAGTCTCCTTCACGGTTACCTTCGCCATCTTGAAAGGTAGCCGTGCCTTTGCATCGAAGCGAGACAACCGTTGAGCGTGCAATGATAGAAACCTGTGAATA